AGCTTGGATCTGGAAGTTCCAACCCCCATTGAGACTCTGGCATGCAGGCGTACATACTGTATTCATAATAAATAAATCTTAAAAAAAAAAAAATCTGCGCCGGGCTGGAGAGATGGCTCAGAGGTTAAGAGCACTGGCTGTTCTTCCAGAGGTCCTGAGTTCAATTCCCAGCAACCACATGGTGGCTCACAACCATCTGTAATGAGATCTGGCTCCCTCTTCTGGCCTAAAGGGATACATGCAAGCAGAACACTGAATACTTAATAAATAAATCTTAAAAAAAAAAAAAAAAAATCTGGGGAAGGTGTACTGCAGTCCAGCGGTGTTCTCTGGAGCTCTGCTCAGTCAACCTCCACCGTTCAGCGTCCCGGCACAGAGAGTGCACAGAGAGAGAGCTGGCCCATTCAGCTCACAGGTCTCCAGGCGCCTCCCCTGGCCCCGCCTTGTAGGCGTGACAGTTGCCAGAGTCTTAATGGGGGTTGGAACTTCCAGATCCAAGCTGGAATGGCTACCCACTACAGGAACTATCAGTAAACTAGATCCTAGTATTCTTATTTAGTCTCATGGTCATAGGGCACACTCCATGAAGCTTTAGGTGCATATTTGGCATCAGATGGCATTGTAACAGGAAGAGAAACCATAAACATTTGGGCAACTCCTTCATGTAGCTTGCTTGTGTCTTCAGGACCTGCTCTGCCCCAATCAGGTATAAAGTGGTTCCATTAGATAATAGATTGCAGCTGTGCAAGTTGTTTGTTATTATTTGGTGGATTAGATAACACCCACATCATGACAGGTAGCTCAGGTCACATTGTAACTTGGTGGCCCATTGTAAAATATGCAGTTTATGCTAAGACCCAATATCAGGACAAAAGTTGTCTTTCCAAGGGAGAATAGTTGTCTTCAGGTGAATGTGGATTCTTGCTCAGAAATCCCAAAGGTTTCTTCTGTGATTTACCTATCAGGACCTTCCAAACTTTCCAAACAACATCCCTATCTGCCACTGACACCTCAAGTACTATCAGATCTGCTGGGTAATATGGACCAAGTGGTAGAGTAGCTTGCATCCCAGTGTGGACCTCTAGAAGAACCTCCTATTCCAGGCCTACAAAAAACTAGCAGCTTTTTGAATCATTTGGAAAATAGGCCAGAGTAACACACCCAAATTAGGAATGTGCTGTCTCTAGGATCCAAATATATCAACTAAATTTTTCATTTCTTTCTTGATAGTGGGGAGGGCCAGGTACAATAACTTATCCTTCCCCTTAGGGAAAAAAAATATCTTTTCGTGCCCCACATCACTGAACTTCTAATAATTTTATGGAGGTAGAAGGTCCTTGAATTTTGTTTGGATTTGTTCCCCATCCTGTGATGTGAATATGTATTGGTGAAATTATTAAGGCCACTCCATGTAGTTAAAAGGGAGATTTATTTAGTGGCGTAACTTACAAATGAAGGGATAGGTAGGTTGCAGGGTCTGGGTAAGACGCAGCACAGTCCAGCGGTGTTCTCTGGAGAACTCTGCTCAGTTTACCTCCAGAGTCCAGGGTCCAGGTACTAAGAGAGACAGAGCATTCGGATCTCAGGTCTTCAGGGTCCTCTCTTGGCCCTGCCTTGTAGGCATGACAGTTACCAAAGCCTCAATGGGGGTTGTAACTTCCAGATCAAGGTTGGAATGGCTACTCACTACAAATATGGGTTACTAATAAGTTCATTAATACAAATAAAAATACTAATAAGTGTTTGCTACCTCCTGTTCACTTGTCCAATCAGCAAATGTCACCAGTATATTGCATCAATGTGATATTTTGTAGAAGAGACAGATGATCAAGTTTCTTTCAAACAAGCTATGAAACAGGCTGAGGAGTTAATATATATCTGAGATAAAATTGTAAAACTATACTACTGGCCTTGCCAACTAAAAGCAAATTGCTTCTGGTGGTCTTATGGACAGAAACCATAAGTACCAAAAGATATGGTAATCTGCTCAAGTAAGGACACTAAGTCAGGTATAACAGCTGTAATCAGTCACTAGCGGATTGAGTTTTTGATAGTCAACTGTCATTTTTTGTGATCCATTTGTCTTCTGCACTATCCAAATTGGACAGTTAAAGGAAGATATGATGTGAACTATCACCCCTGCATCTTTTTTGTTTGTTTGTTTGTTTGTTTTGACACAGGGTTTCTCTGTGTAGTTTTGGTGTCTATCCTGGCTGGATCTCACTCTGTAGAACAGGCTCACCTTGAACTCACAGAGGTCTGCCAGGCTCTGCCTCCTGAGTGCTGGGATTAAAGGTGTGTGACATCACTTCCCAGCTTGAATCTTTTAAGTTCTTGTTGGAAGCACTGGTGTGCTCTCCATTTTTGAATTTTAGTTAACTCCAGATGTAGTCAAGTTTACAACCAAAAATAACCACCACAGCCCTGTAGTACAAGTTAGGAGTGATTTTTTTTCCTATTCCTGTTCCAGTTTTCAGAAGAGTTTGAATGTATATAGCATCAGCTCATTATATGTATAGTTGACTTCAGCAGTAAAGCAGTCAGGTTCTCAAATGTTTCATTTCTGATACAAATTTAATTATTATTGATCTATATGGATAGTCTGTATCTTCAGAACTAAAATATTTGACTATGGCTGCAGCCTATACTCAGCTATTGTCCTATGAGTTTGCCAGGGAATAATTCATCATATAGATGAGCCACTTGGTAGATATAATAGTCTATTTGTGCTTGACAACCTAATGTAATACTGGAAAATTCAACACACATATAAGACTACTCTCTTTTTTTTTCTTTTTCTGGAGCTGAGGACTAAAGCCAGCAAGCACTCTATCACTGAGCTACATCCCCAACCCAAGACTATTCTCATCATAAGCATCAAAGGTAAAGTGAAAAGACAGTGGGAATGTCTTGTTCACATGTATGTACATGCCTGTTGATGCCAAGTGACAACCTTGGACACTTTTTCTGAAGCACAAGCCACCACATTTCTTTGAGACAGAGGCAAGAAACTTACAAAGTACGCTAGACTTGATTACTAGTAGCCTCTCTAACCCACTAGTCTCTGACTCCACAGGTTTGCAGTTTAAATGGGTGCTACCTTGCCTGGCTATTTTTTTTTTTTTGGCCATAGGCTCTGGGAATTAAAATTAATTCCTCAAAGTTGCATAGCAATTTTTTTTACAACTGAAGCAACCACTGAACTCTTTAGACATTTTAAAAGCAAAAATATTAGTAATTTTAGGCATTTTTTCAAAGAGGCAAAATGAAATATGCTTTTGAGCATGTATTAATTGTTTTTCATTTTGCTGCAATTTTTCAATAGGTGTGATTCTGATTGTAGTATAAATTGTAATTTATGATGTGTTTGGAAGTCTCCTTGCAGTGTAAACCATTATCATGCTTTAAAGAGTCATTTATCAATTATATGTGTAGCTGTAAAACACAGTGGAAAATTACATGTGATTTGGTAAGTAGGGATGTAAAATGTAAAGTATGATTTTGATCACCTACAATGTTAGTTTATTATAATTAAATTACAATGCATTTCCCAATCACTGAAACTCTTATATAGTTGAATGCTTCTCAAAAGTATCATCTTAAAGATTCAATTAACGATTTTAGAGTATGTTGATAAAATGCCTTCTTTGATATCAAAATAAGGATGAAAATAGGTAGGAAGAATCTGGATAACTACAACAATTTTGGAGAAATAATAACGAACTTAAATTGTTTTATTAGCAGAACATTTTAACAGTCCTCCAAGTGGCGTACATCTGACTGTAACATCCTTTATCTCAACTTCTGCTGCTGCATTCCTTGTCTTTACTGAACATTATAGGAAGATGCTTGAATTTAGAGAAAATCCCAGCTGATTTTAAACTATTATTTATGAAGGATATCATTTCTCTTCTTTATTTGTGAAAAAAAAAAAAAACAACAAAAAACAGGTATATCCATTGAACAGACATCATCGGAAGTCCTGACAGCTCTCTGATTAGTTGCACACTCAGGAGACAAGAAGAATGCTAATGACTCAACAATGGACAGCTGAGACATTTATACACAGAAGGAGCTACAGATCCTGTCCCCAGTAGAGTAGAGACTATCATTAGCAATCTTGTTCCAAATAATAAGTCCTTAAAGACTTGTGAAAGCCACGTCTTCTACAGCAGCTGTGTTGTTCGTTCGAACTCTGATAAGTTGAATGTAAGAAAGGGCTGTTTTCATTTAAGATTTTAATATTTTTTTTTATTTCCTGAATACTAATGGAATTGTACAAAAATTGCCAGTTTATCCAAGTGTAGCATTATAGTCAACAATTTAAAACATTATGTTTTATTTTGGAGATTATATATCTTTCAATCCACTACATCTCATAGGCAAGAGAATTATCTAGCAGTATTTATAATTTAGAGCATTTGCAATGCTTACAAATTTACACTATGATTCTTGCATATGGTAAGTACAAGTATGTTTTATTATTTAATACTATATTTATGTAGTATCTTAAAATATTTGCACACTTATGCAAATTTAGGAAATAGACTAAGAATTACAAATAGCGTACAGTACATATAATTTCCTATTAATTTAATAAAATAATAGTACTTGAAAAACAATTCAGATCTACATTTCTTTAAGGATTTCAATCAAATATTTTAAGAATTTTTTTCTATTTTCCTTCCATTTGCTTTCTAGCCTGGTGCATGGTTTTATTTTAAGTTCTGATTTTAAGAGAGCTCAGACTCTTTGCCCCAGCAACTCTACCATGGTATATGTATTTTAAGGTAAAATATATAATTTATAGCTTTTTCTCATTCACTTTGTGCTATTTATGTTGATTGTAGGGTTTAAATGTGGATTTATTCTCAATGCCAAATTTTATAATTCCATAAATGTGTGGTATTTTTACATAATTTTTCTTTAAAATTTCAATTATAAACTAATCAATGTGTATATACCATTAGAAATCATTACATCGTCCTTTTTTTCTCCATTTGTGCTTGGTTTTATCCTATGACTCTGAGTTATCCAGCCTCTGGTTCTGTCAATGGTGCTGTCTGGTGGCATAAGTCTATTTTGAGGTAATATGTCTCTTGTGTGAATAGCTCTTTCCCTGTGTGTGAAGGTTGAAAATGTTTAATAATCATTAGCTCATTTGGTATGATTTTGCTGGGTTACATTTTTTCATTAAGAAAATTTTTTCATTCATTTTACATACCAATCGAAGATCTCCCTCTTCCCTCCTCCTGTCCTCCACCCCCCACCTCCTCCTTCCAACCCAGCCCCCACTCCCACCCACAAGAAGGCAATTCCTCCCATGGGAAAACACATTCATTAGAGGCAAGTCCAAGCACTTTCCCCTGCTTCAAGGCTACAAGAGGTGTCCCATCATAGGTAGTGGGTTCCACAAAGCCAGCTCATGAACCAGAGATAGATTCTGATCCTACCGCCAGGGGGCCCCCAAGCAGATCAAGCTCTACCACTGTCTTGCCATGAAGAGAGCCTAGTCCAGTCCCATGCAGGCTCCATAGCAATTGATTCAACTTTTATGAGTTCCCTCTAGTTTGGATTGGTCATCCCTGCTGGGTTCCCTTTTGAACTATGGTGAAAACAGTATTTAAAGATTATAACTACTCTTAGTGTATTCTTATTCATTGGTGACCATGCATTCTGATTTTTGTCCTAGAATCATGAAATGACTGGGAAAGAATTCCCTATTAATTTGAACATGTTGATTTGTGATGATAAATCAGCCTCATTATATGAAGGATACAAATTAAATTTAGAATATGTCTTTAAGAGGAAAATTTTTGAAGGCAGAATATTTACAGTAATTAGTTTTGTAAATCATTCTTTTATTTCCATCTGGACGGCAATGTTCAATGCAGAAAAGTCCTGAATTTAATTTCCAGATGCCCTTATGTTCTACTAATAACACTAATATCATAGAAGCTAACCATATGTAGACAGAGGGTGATTCATTTTTGTATTTATCTTTTTCTCCTGTGAGTTTGGTGAATAATGCCATAAATGTAATTGAAACTTATTTTCCATTACACTTGCTTTCTGCCTTTGCTCTCCCCATCCATGTGATCATTAGTAAAATCATCTTTTTAAGCACAATTTGAAAACTCAGAGACAATCTAACTGGCCACAAATTATGAATATATATTCTTAGTATTAAATGGGAATAATATGCAAATTCTGATGTCTTGAATTTATCCGGAGGTATTGTTTCAAACAAAATGTATAGCTTTTCAAAAGATGGAGTGTACATTTATGTAGATTGAACAGGAGTATTTTTGTACTTAGGAATATATGTATTTGTGCATACATACACATATATGGGTATAATGGCAATCAATGAAAACAGAGTACATGGAATTGAAAGAGAACAAGCAAGAGGATGTAGGAAAGCTTAGAAGGAAGAAAGGGAGGTGGGGATGATAGAATTACATTATTTTATCAAAATTAATGAAATATTTTAAAAAATTGATGCTTTCAAATGTTCCCTAGGATAGACTGAAATCAGATTCACTGTTCTTCCAAAGGCCAGCAACCTGGAACATAGAGAAGGACTAAGGTATATTCCATGGTTTAAGTGGGTTGTCTTGTGCTTATAGAGTGATCATTTCAATTTGATGGAGGAATATCCATTAATATGGAACAAGATGCCACAGGTACCTGTATCCTGACTGATAAATGTGAGGTACCAAATTATTTTCTTCAAGTTTCAAGTGCCTCATAGGCTCTTATAAATAGACAAAATGTTCTTTGAATGCTAAACAGATTGTAAAATGCTGTGCTTGATGAGAGGGGAAGGGGGTGGGGAACCAGGAGGAGGGGAAGAGGGAGCAAAAGCTGAGGTTGGAATGCACTGAAAGTGAAGATAAAGAAAAATATCAATAATTAATAACATTAAGAAATCAAAAATGCAAAACATAACAGCAAGGAATATATGACTCATATTCATAAATAACGTGTATTTATCAATGGTATGAGAAAGTATATGGCTAATTTATTTCTCTGATGTTTACCTTAAGAATTATTGAATTAAACAGGCCAGTGGTAGTGAATGCCTTTAATCCCAGCACTCGGGAGGCAGAGGCAGGTGGATCTCTGTGAGTTTGAGGACAGCCTGGGATACAGAATGAGTTCCAAGAAAGGCACAAAGCTACACAGAGAAACCCTGTCTCGAAAATCAAAACAAAAAAAGAATTATTGAATTGAAAAAGTGACATTTCAAAAGAAATTGTATGACATTGTCCTTTATATTTTTTAAAAGAAAATACATAGATCATTGCAGGTTTTGGTGTTACACATTTCTTCTTTACAATGTATGTTCTTGATTGTTGTATTATTTTTAATACTGAGAACAACACTCACAGAATGCAAAATGAAAATTGAACAAAAACATGAAGGCAAGAATTGTCAAATATAATGACAATTGGGATAGTTAATCATTCTTAAAACAAACAACAAATGAAAACTTTGATCTAAACTTTTTTGTCCTTGCTCAGTTCTCTCTACAGAATGACATTAACTACATGTGTCATAGATCCAGAAATAAGGTGAGGACATAACTGAGGTGAGGTGTTTGGAAAGGGGAAAGTGACATCATATTCAAGCCAATCTGTTTAAGTTAACTGGAAGTGAAATACTTTGAAATGGTCATCCACAGGGTGTTGAAATTTCCCTTGTCACAAGATTGTAGCAAGCTTATATTTTTTCTAAGCAGAAGGCTGATAGATATTAGAGACAAGACAGAGTTGTGTACCACCCTCTAAATTCAAATCTCAATATCTACCAGGTGAGAGCTTTGTTACATGAGAGCTTTTCTTTTCTTATCCTTCCCTATTCTGTAATAATTGATAACAGGGAATACAATAATGTAAGCTGCAGTCATTTGAGTCTCAGTGTAGACTTTGAAGCATACATGTTTGCTACTGTTGAGATTTCTTTCTTTGCTTCATCTACCACAGGGTAAACTCTCAGTGTCTCACACCATGATGGCTATCAGATCCTGGAGGAAATCCTTCTATTTATTTATTATTCATTAAATTCTCAAGATATTATTTTATAACAAGGAACTGTAGAGCAATGAAGGCATGGGAGTGTGGAATCATACGGGTGTGAAGGAATTCGTACTGATCGGCTTAACAGAAAATCCCAATTGGAAGGTTCCCCTCTTCTTGCTGTTCAGTCTAATTTATCTTGTCATTCTTGTAGGTAATTGGGGGATGGTTATCTTAATCTGGCTGAATGCCCAACTTCATACCCCAATGTATTTCTTCCTTAGTAACCTTTCATTGTGTGATATATGCTACTCTACTGTCATTGCTCCTAAGATGCTGATCAATTACTTCTCAGAACACAAGTCTAGTAGATTCTTTGCTTGTGTTCTGCAGAGTTTCATTTTTGCTATTTACATAACCACAGAAGTCATTCTCCTGTCTATGATGGCTTATGATCGCTATGTGGCAATCACAAACCCATTAATGTATACAGTAATTATGACTCACAGCGTCTGCACTCAGATGGTTCTTATATGTTACTTGGGTGGCCTCATTAATTCCCTGACTCACACAATAGGTCTACTCAGACTGGACTTCTGTGGTCCAAACGTTGTGAATCACTTCTTCTGTGACATTCCTCCTCTTTTGAAGCTTTCCTGTTCTGATGCACACATCAATGAGATGCTGCTTTTGGTCTTCTCTGGAGTGATTGCTATTTTCACTTTTATCATCATCATTGTATCCTATAGCCGCATTATCGTTGCCATTCTGAGGATCCGCTCTGTAGAGGGGAGGCGCAAAGCCTTCTCTACTTGTGCCTCACACCTGACAGCTGTGACATTATTTTATGGTTCTGTGGCTTTTAGCTATATCCAGCCAAGTTCTCAGTACTCTATGGAGCAGGAAAAAGTCTCTGCTGTGTTTTACACCTTGATCATCCCCATGCTGAACCCTCTGATTTACAGCCTGCGGAACAAGGATGTGAAGGAAGCAGCAGGGAGATGGATTTGTATGGGGAGGAGCACCTCTTGACTCTGACCTTTCTCTAGTATTGCAAATGTGATTTGAATCTTCAAACTGACATCATGAAAAATTATTAATCTTTTATAAGGGTCATATAGAATTTTAGACCAAAATATCTTGGTAAATATTATTTATGAAATACTATATTGTCTCAGAGAAAACTTCAAATATCTCTAATGGCATGACTTTCATGGATCCTTTCACTTAGGTTTACAAATCTCTATAAAAGCTTAAATAATTATCTTCCTGTTGCATAGAATTTTAATGGTGAGGTATCTATCTGCACAAAAATAAAGCTCATGTGTTAAGGATTTTGTTGTTGTTGTTTTTGTTTTCGAGACAATGTTTTTCTGTGTAGTTTGGGTGCCTGTTATGGATCTCGCATGGTAGACCAGGCTGGCCTCAAACACACAGAGATCTGTCTGGTTCTGCCTCCCAAGTGCTGGGATTAAAGGTATGTGCCACCACTGCCTGGCTTGTGTGTTAAGGTTTTAACTAAACTAACTTCTATGAAATACCTGTTGTGACAATTTCTGTGACATACAAATTTAACTGAGAGTTTGAACTAAAGTTGTTAGATAAAGAAAGAAGGAAGGGAGGTTGGTTTTTTTTTTTTAAGTTTAATATGATAGCAGTTTGGCTATTGTGTGGGGCTTTTAAGTAAAGAAAGAATCCATGCCTGACACTGGCCTACTTGAACAAGATGCTGAGAATAGATAACAGAAGGACTGAGAGTAAGACTAAATATTGCTGTTCTCTGAAAAAAAGGTAGCAATCCAAAAAGGCTCCTGTTAACATTCTGTACCCTCATAAATGAGTGCTGTGCTCAGCCATCCTCAGAGAAGCTTTCTCCTTAAGGAGATGAGAACGAATTTAGGGACCCACAGCCAGACACTATGGAGAGAGTGAGAGATTTTGGAACACTTATCTCTTTATGGGATGTCTCCATCAAATCCTTCACAGGGTTCAGAGAATCCCGTGGAAGACAAGGAAGAAAGATTGCAATAGCTAGAAGTGATGGAGGACACCAAGGAAGCAATGCCTTTTAAATTAACATAATCAAAGATCATATGAACACATATGGACTGAAGAAGCATGCACAGGACCTGCACTGTTCTGTACCAGAGCTCACAGGTGGGTGCATGCACATGCATGTGCATGTACACGCACCCGCGCGCACACACACACACACACACACACACACACA